GACCTCAGCCTCGCAGCGCACTCCCGGACCTCAACCGCAAGCGCATACTAGGACCAAAGCCAGTCCATACGTCACATCACATGTCAGACAGGGAAAAATGGCAGAACACACGCCAACACGCACGGACGTCAGACCGCCAAACATTTCGCAGGTTTTGGGATAGATGATGCGTCAATGCGCAAACCAGACATGGTGCCAGAACAAGCGTCAAAACATTGCGCTTACTGTAGATACCAGAAAGCTGCCAGACTACAAAAATGAGCCGAATCCAGTCGCACAAAAGATCGAACATACTAAAGTGCCAGAAGACGCCAAACTAAACAAATTCCGAGCGAAATTGAAACACAGGCCCCGGCAAGGGCTCCGTGTTCCAGAAAGGTTCCACAAGGTTGCGGAATCGCTTGTCCAGCAAGGCTCCACGACGCCTTAAATGTCTGCCCGGGCACTTCGTAGAGAAATGAAGTCTGCAAAATGCACGGCCAGCGATGAAACCTTTATGTCTAATATACAGAAGGGAAACGATATATTACTTGGCTATAAAGTTGCCACTAGTGATCTAACAACTTTCTCAAAAATATGAACATGCATCTACAGTTATAAATTGGTATGTTCTCCCAGTGAGAGACCCAAATAGTGCGTTTAAAGCTCTAAAGTCTAAGGTCCAGAGGTAGAAGTAGAAGGTCTAGAGTTATGAAAAAAAGCTATTGCTATCTCTGGAGTGTTCAAAAATGTTTATTTTTAGGAAAAAATAGGAACAAAATAGGACCCCAAAATAGGAATAAAATAGGGCTGACAACAAAAAATAGGAATAAAAGAGGATCATTGCCTCGGTCCACCGACCTAGGTCCACTGGGGCTAGGTCCACCGGGGCTAGGCCTAGGTCCACTGGGGCTAGGTCCGCCAGACCTAGGTCCACGGAGGGCTATTTTTCCTAATTTTTCGTATTTTTTCCTATTTGGGGGGGAGGGGCTATTTTTCCTAATTTTTCCTATTTTTTCCTATTTTGGGGGGGGAAGCTATTTTTCCTATGTTTCCTAATTTTTCCTATTTTTCCTAATTTTTCCTATTTTTTACTATTTTTAATTTAAAAATAGGAAAACATTAGGAAAAAATAGGAATTGAAAATAGGAAAAAAATAGGACGATTTTCGCACCCCCCCCCAAAATAGGAAAAATAGGAAAAATAGGAAAAATAGGCCAGGTCCACCGGGGCTAGGCCTAGGTCCACTGGGGCTAGCGCTAGACCTAGGTCCACGGGGCTAGGCCTAAATACCCTGGGGCTAGGTCCGCCAGACCTGGGTCCACTGGGGCTAGGTCCATTTTATGTTCCTGTCCTAGAGCGCTGCCATTCTTGTCCTTTCCTATTTCTAAATCCAGCTCTTTTCTTTTCCTATTTTTGAGACTCATCCTCTTTGTGTCCTGTTTTTTCCTATTTTCAGTTCCTATTTTTTCCTATTTTATTCCTATTATTTTCCTAAAATAACTATTTTAAGGTTTTTCAGACATAGCAGGCAGCTTTATGTCATAAGTCTAGAGATCTAGACAAAATGGACTCCAGAAGAAGGAGGTGATGGTGGTGGTGATGATGGGGGCGGTGATCAGGGCAATGGTGGTGGCGATTGTCACGGTGGTGATGGTCGCGGCGATGAAGGCGGCGATCATGCGGTGGTGACGGTGGTGGTGATTGACGCCGTGATGGCAGTGATGGTGGCGGTGGTGATGCTGGTGGTGATGGTAGTGCTTGATGGCGGCGGTGGCGGCGACGACGGCGGTGATAATGATGGGCGGCGGTGACGATTGCGGAGTAGTGGTCGTGGCGCTGGTGATGATGGTGGCGGCGATGGTGGTGGAGGTGGTAGTATTAGAGTTGTGGTAGTAGTCGTCGTCGTCGTCGTAGTAGTAGTAGTAGCCGCTCAAAGCGCAGAACGCCTCTTTTGCAATGGTTGCACTGCAGCCAGCCACCCAGCCATGCAGGCATGGGTGGGCTGGCACTTGCTGCCCGCTTCTGGAAACTCTAATAGCAGCTGTAGCTGCAAGCAACATGATCGCTGAGTCACGCAAGGGTTGGGGGCACCAGGCGGCAAGCCACCAAACTTCTGCCGTAGCAGCAGCAGCGGCAGCAGCAGCAGCAGCAGGTGTTGTTGTTGTTGTTGTTGTATTGCCACTCTTCTCATCGATTCGGATCAACTGAATCAGGAATTGGGTGTGAGATTCCTTTCGGTCTCAACCCTCAACTCCGAGAGTTTGCTAGGTGATCTGCATCTCCCAAGAATTTGTCTGACTCTGCTCTCTTCTTGGGCTCTGCCGCTTTGGCTCCTCTGGCTTCTTCTCCAACTGTGGTGCTTCTCTCATCTCAATCCTCTTCACTCCCGCTATTTGCTGGCAACGGCGGATTGCTTGCAGATCCTGGGCCAAATCCTGAGCCTCTGGCTTCATCATCTTTTCTCTTCGATGCTGCCACACTTCTGCGGCTAGGTTGGCCAGATCCCTGATGGCGATATTCAATCGCAAGGCTCTTCCCCACACACATGTCGACCAATGGTTGGTCGCGGTTCTGCACACTTCTCACCCCTCGAATCGCAGTAGACCCCCCGGTGCTTCTCAACCTGATCTAGCTCCTTGACTTCAACCTGGTGAACGGCCTCGATTGGAAAATGAACCTTCCTCCTTCCCTGATGTCGGTTTGAAGCTCCTCTGGTGAACCCTACAAGCGGATGAAGCAGAACTCCTCAGGCGATGCCTCGGTCTGCCTATTGGCGCTTCTCCAAATACCTGTTTCCTCTCCGTTTTCATCTCCTTGGCCTCTTCAACCTTCTGCTTCTTGCGGCTGCACCAGCCGTTCGCCAAGGCACGTTGCCGAGTCCTCGTTCAGCACGACCGTGGAGCCTGGGAGATCTCAATTCCCAGCTCTGAGGGTTTCCGTCCGCCGCCACGTGGGAAACACCCAGCTTGGAGGAGCGCTCGTCAAAATCTCCGGCTGCACCGACCGCCTGAGATGGGTCAGGATCTTCGGTCTCTTCCTCTTTTTTCCTACTTTTCGGATTCTTCCTTTTCTTCTGCCTTTTTTCAACTGCAATCTCGGTTCCGGGCAAAGGTTCCTCTTTCTCTTCTTTCTTTCTTCTTCCTTGGCCGCCGGTGCGACTGAAGCAGCCGCTGCTTCCGGTGCCGACTCCTCCTCGATCGCCTCCTCCTCTGAGAGCTTTCCACCGTTCAGATTCACCAGGCTTTCTCGCTACCATCAAAATCAAAACACTGTATCGACGCTACTGAGCATCCTTCCTCCTTGAGCTAAAACACACACAAGTCTTGGTCAGAACTGTACAAGCAGAGTATATGTGTATATATATATATATTGTGTGTGTGTCCACCCCTGGACAAAGGGTTCTCAACCAACTTCGGCAGGGGGATCAGGCTTCCAGTGACTAACCTGATCCAACGAAGCTGGGTCACTGGAAGGGATGTGGTTGAGGACGCTTGACCATGTACCTGCTGAGTTTTTCACAAGCTGTCACCCCAATCTTCCTTGGTTTGCTTCCATGGTGTTTTCGCACGATACCTCCCTCTCAAACAGGTTTCCCACCACACTGCAGCTGCTGAACGCCGCTTCCACTTGCACGCTTTCGGAAACATTGTTCAACAATACTTTTCTGCGGACTCATGCACCTTTCCGTTCCTTCACCTTCCTTCTCAACGTGGGAACTGAGTCACTGAAAACCAATGTCAGAGTGTGTTTCGCTCAGCCGTCCCACTCGGGTGCTGAGTGTGATCCCCGTCACAGGGGCGCCGTTTTT